ATTACCATATCAGCAAATGCATTAAATGAAAATTATTTAAATATTTCAAATAAAGGACAGAAATTTTCAGATTAAATAAAAAAAGAGACTAAGCTATATAGCTATATACAATATTTATGCAAAATATATGCAAAGATGAACTTAATACTAACATTTGTTAAAAATAACAGGTTGGAAAAAACATACTGCATAACTACTAGTCAAAAGAAAGCTGAAAAGTCTATCATAATATTAGAAAAGTAAGTTTCAAGAAAAAATATTAATAATAGTAAAATTGTCATAATGAAAAAGGGATCAATTCATAAAAAAGACATAACAGTGCTACTTGTGTATGCACTTCAATATCAGTCAAAAAAACGTGAATAAAAACTGATAAAACACAAGAACTATAACTGACAATTATAGTTTGAAATTTCAGCACTCTTTTCCCAGGAAGTGGTAGGACATGCAGTCAAAAACCAAGTAATAATAGAGAAACTCTGTACAATGCATCAATTTGACATCATTGACATTTTAGAACACTAAACCCACAACAGCAGAATATACATCATTAACAAGTAAACATGGAATATTGAGAAAGATAAACCATATTCTGGGACATAAAGCAAGGCATATAATGTATGCTCCCTGACCACACTGAGTACAAAAAGAAAAAGAGAAAGAGAAAAAGAAGAAAAAGAAAAAGAAAAAGGAAGGGAAGGGAAGGGAAGGAAAGGAAACTTTTAAAATCAATTTTTTTAAAGATTTTATTTATTTATTTGTCAGAGAGAGAGCACAAGCAGGGGGAGCAGCAGCCTCCCTGCCAAGCCAGGAGCCTGATGCGGGACTCGATCCCTGGACCCCCGGGGTTCATGACCCAAGCTGAAGGCAGTTGCTTAACTGACTGAGCCACCCAGGCATCCCTAAAATCAATTTTAAAAAGATGTCATGACAATCCACAAATATATGGCAATTGTATAATGTACTTCTAAACAAACCAAGTGTCAAATAAGGAAGTTAAATATTTTAAATTAAAATAAAAACATAATATATCGAAATGAGCAGATTGAAATAAACAATTAGTTTGCTCGGGCTGCCTTAAGTACCACAGACTAAGTGGCTTCAAGTATTTTCGCACAGTTTTAGAGGGTAGAAGCCTGAGATCAAGGTGCTGACAGAGTTGGTTTTCTTTCAAGGCCTCTCTCTTTGGTTTGTGGATTGTGGGAAACAGAACACCACAATGACCACTGGTGCATGTTCGCTCAGACTCCGAGATCTCTGAGAAAACTCAAGATTGCAGGGTTAAAAATAACCCGAAAGGATCAGAGTTGAAATGCCCTTGGAACGTGTGTGGTCAGTTCTAAAGTACGCAGCAGATGTTTTGTAGATAGGAAGGCAGCTGTAAACAGCACACTGGGCACTCCCGTCTCTGTTCCCTTGTCCTGTAAATTCTGTTTTAAAGATTCCTACGTGCTTGACTAATCCTGTATACATGGAGGAATGTGCCTTACTACGTCCCTGCTATAAATCATTATAGATCTATATCGCTGTAGAAGGTATATAAGAGTATGGAAAATAAACCTCGGCACCTCGGGCTGTCAGCTCAGGGTCCCCTGTGCCTCGCTCTACTGTCGTCTCTTTTTCTCAGTTCCTTCGCCACCCCAGGTCCCCAACTCTCAGAGGTCGACAGTGGATGGCCATCTTCATGTTCATGTGGACTTCCCTCTGTGCATGTCTACCACTCGGACGCCAATTAACAGTATATGATTTTTTTCCCCTACCACCAAGCAGTTCTTAGAGACCAACTAACTCATCCTACAATTCAACAAAATTCTGACACTACCTAGAGATAGTGTCAGATCACACAGGGTAAGTGCTCAATCCTAGAAGACCTCCCCCTCCCTTCCTCCCTCTCTTCAGAAACCAATTGCAAGTCCAGGCTGTCACATGTGCTTCTGGACAGACTGCCTATAGACTGGAAGTTTCAGTGACCCCCCCCCCCTTAGGTTTCATTAATCTGCTAGATCAGCTCACATTACTCAGAGAAACATTTTACTAACTAGATTACCAGTTTATTATAAAAGGATACAACTCAGGAACAGCCAGATATAAGAGATATGTAGGGAATGTATGAGGAAGGAATGAGGAGCTTCCCATACTCTCTCTGGATGTGCTACTCTCCCCAAATTTCCACATGTTCACAAACTCAAAAGCTCTCCAAACCCTGATTTTGGGGGTTTTATAGAAGTTTCATTACATAGATATGATTGATTAATCATTGGCCATTGGTGATTGAACTCAATCTCTAGCCTCTCTCCCCTCCTTGGATGTCAGGAAGGTGAGACTTGAAGTTCCAACCCTTTCATGCCAGTGGTTGGCACCCCTACTAACCAGCCCCAATCCTTGGGTTTTTTACAAAAATCACCTCACAAAGTAATCTTTTATCACTCTCATCACAGGAAATTTTAAGAATTTTAGGAGCTCTGTGCCAGGAACAGGAATGAAGACCAAATATATATTCTTATTATAAATCACAATATCACAATGTCTGTGTTCTAATTTCCTCTTCTTATTAGGGCATATTTTATTGGATTTGGGTCTACCCATATGATTTCATTTTATGTTAATAACCACTTTAAAGGCCCCATCTCCAAATACAGTCACATTCTAAAGTACTGGGTTTCAGAATTTCACCATATGAATTGTTCAGGGATGGTAGTGGGGACATATTAAACCCTTAACATAATGCTTACATTAAAAAAGGAGAACTTCTAAAAGCAACAATCTGAGCTTCCATTTTAAGAAATTAGGAAAGAAAGAGCATATTAAAAATAAAGTAAGCAGGTTGCCTTTTAGTCTTGTTGTTTGTTTCTTTTGCTGTGCAGAAGCATTTTATCTTGAAGTCCCAATAGTTCATTTTTGCTTTTGTTTCTCTTGCCTGCAGAGACCTATCTAGTAAGAAGTTGCTATGGCCAATGTCAAAGAGGTTGTTGCCTATGTTCTCCTCTAGGATTTTGATCATTTCCTAAAAGGCAACCTTTGGAATGGCAGAAGATATTTGCAATGACATATCTGATAAAGGATTAGTATCTAAGTAATTTGAATAGCTATATAGACAGATCAATTGACAGATATTTTATTGAAGTACAGCTGACATACAATATTATGTTAGTTTCAGGTGTGCAACAGAGTAATTTGACATTTATATACATTACAAAACAACCACCATGTTATCATCTGTCACCATACAGTTATTACAATATTATTGATGATATTTCCCAAGTTGTACTTTACATGTCCATGACTATTTTATAACTAGAAATTTATACTTTTTTTCTCTTTAAGATTTTATTTATTTGAGAGAGAGAATGAGAGAGAGCACAAGAGGGAAGAGGGTCAGAGGGAGAAGCAGACACCCTGCTGAGCAGGGAGCCTGATGTGGGACTTGATCCCAGGACTCCAGGATCATGACCTGAACTGAAGGCAGTCACTTAACCAACTGAGCCACCCAGGCGCCCTAGAAATTTATACTTCTTAATCTCCTTTAACTATTTCACATATCCACTTACTCCCCAGATCCCCTTTGACAACCACCAGCTTGATATCTGTATTTATGAAACTGTTTCTGTTTTGTTTTGTTTTTTAAATTCCATATATAAGCAAAATCATATGGTATTTGTCTTTTTCAGTCTGATTATTTCACTTAGCATAAAATACTCTATGCCCATCCATGTTGTGGCAAATGACAAGATTTTACCCTTTTTAATGCTGAGTAATATTCCCTTGTATATATATATTTTTTACAGATTTTATTTATTTCAGAGAGAGACAGCACAAAATAGAGAGACAGCACAAGCAGGGGGGAGGGACAGAGGGAGAGGGGGAAGCAGACTCCCCAGTGAGTAGCGAGCCCAGTGCAGGACTCAATCCCCGGACCCTGAGATCATGACCTGAGCCAAAGACAGACTCTTAACTGACTGAGCCACCCAGGCGCCCCTCCCTTGTATATTTATACACCACATCTTCTTTATGCATTCATCTACTGATGGACATCTAGGTTGCTTCCATATCTTGACTATTACAAATAATGCAATGAACATAGAGGTGCACGGATCTTGTTAACTTAATGTTTTCATATTCTTCAGATAAATACCCAGAAGTGGATTTGCTAGATCATGTAGTATTTCTATTTTTAATTTTTTGAGGAACTTCCATACTGTTTTCCATAGTGGCTGCACCAATTTACATTCCTACCAACAGTGCACAAGGGTTCCCTTTTCTCCACAACCTTGTCGATATTTGTTATTTCTTGTCTTTTTGAGAATAGCCATTCTGAGTGGTGTGAGATGATACCTCATTGAGGTTTTGATTGGCATTTCCCTGATGATTAGTGATGCTGAACATCTTTTCATTTGTCTGCTGTCCATCCGTATGTCTTCCTTAGAAAAATATCTATTCAGATCCCCTACCCACTTTTTAATTCACTCCCTCCCCTCCCTTCTCTTCCTTTCAATATTGAGTTGTAGGAGTTCTTTATATATTCTGGATATATCATATGCAAATATGTTCTGCCATTCAGTAGGTGGCCTTTTCATTTTGTTAATGGTTTCCTTCTCTGTGCAAAAGATTTTCAGTTTGCTATAGTGGCAATTGTTTATTTTTGCTTTTGTTGCTTTTGCGTGAGAAAGACATATCCCTGTCTAAGACTGATAGTCAAAAGTTCACTGCCTATGATTTCTTCTAGGAGTTTTATGATTTCAAGTCTCACATTCAAGTCTATGATCCATTTTGAGTCTATTTTTGTATATGGTATGAGAACATGGTCCAATTTCATTCTTTTGCATATAGCTACTTTTCCAACACCATTTATCAGAGAAATTTTTTCCCATTGTATAGTCTTGCCATCTTTGTCAGAGATTAATTGAATACATAAGCATGGTTTATTTCTAGGTTCTCTATTCTGTTCCATTGATCTACGTGTCTGTTTTTTGGTTTTTTGTTTGTCTGTTTTTTGCCAGTACCATACTGTTTTGATTACTACAGTTTTGTAGTATATCTTGAAATCTGGGAGATTTGTTCTTCTTTCTCAAGATTGCTTTGGCTTTTTGGGGTCTTCTGTGTTTCCACACAAATTTTAGGATTCCTTATTTTGAGAAAAATGTTATTGGTATTTTGATAGGAGTTGCAGTGAATCTGTAGATTGCTTTGTGTAGTATGGATATTTTAATAATATTAATTCTTCCAATCCATGAGCGTGGTCTATTTTTCCATTTGTGTCATCTTCAATTTCTTTCATCAATGTCTTAAAGTTTTTAGAGTTCAGGTCTTTTACCTCTTTGGTTAAATTTATTCTTTGGTATTTTATTCTTTCTGATGTTATTGTAAATGGAACTGATTTTTTTTTAATATCTCTTTCTGATAGTTCATTATTAGTATATAGAAACCTAAATAATTTCTGTATATTAATCTTTTTTATCCTTCAACTTTAGCCGATCTATTTATTAATTATTTTCATGGAGTCTTCAAGGTTTTTTATATGTATTATCATGTCTTCTGCAAATAGTGACAGTTTTACTCCTTCCTTACAAATTTGTATGCTTTTTTTGTTTTGTTTTTTCTTGTTTGACTGCTGGTAAGGACTTCCAGTACTATGTTTAATAAAAGTGGTGAGAGTAGACATCCTTGTCTTGCTCCTGATCTCATAAGAAAAGCTTTCAGCTTTTCACCATTGAAAATATGATGTCAGCTGAGGGTTTGTCATATATGTCCTTTATCATGTTGAGGTACATTCCCTCTATACCCACTTTGTTGAGAGTTGTTGTCATAAATGGACATTAAATTTTGTCACTTTTTTTTTATCTCTTGAGTTGATCATCTGATTTTTTTCCTTCACTTTGTTAATGTGGTATGTCACATTGATTCATTTGCAGATATTGAACCATTCTTGCATCCCTAGAATAAATCTCACTTGATTGTGGTATATGGTCCTTTAATATATCATTGAATTCATTTGGCTAATATTTTATTCAGGATTTTTGCATCTATGTTCATCAGGGATACTGGGCTCTAATATTTTTTTTGTGTCTGTAGTGTTTGCATCTAGTTTTGATATCAGGAAAATCTGACCCTGTAGAATAAATTTGGAAACATTCTTTCCTCTTCTATTATTTGGAATACCCGAGAAGGATAAGTATTAACTTTTCTTTAAACATTTGGTAGGGTTTGTCTATGAAGCCATCTGTTCCTAGACTTGTTTTGGGAATTCAACATCACAAATCATTATGGAAATGTGTATCTAAACCACAGTGATATCACTTCACACTGCATAGAATGACTTTTATTAGGAGAAGTAGGAAATAAGTTTGGGTAGGATGTGGGGAAATTGGAAGTGGAAGTGTAAAATACTATAGCCACTGTGAATAACAAAAAGGGGATCTCTTTAAAAATTTAAACATAAAATTACCATATGGTTCAGTAATTCAATTTCTGGATACCTAGCCAAGATAATTTAAAGCAAGGACTCAAACAAATATTTGTACACCCATGTTAACAGCAGCATATTCCCAATAGCCAAAGGGTAGAAATAACCCAAAAGTTCACTGATGGATGAATGGATAAGAAAATGTGGTATAGATATTAATGGAATATTAGTCTTAAAAAAGTGTGTTGCAACATGGATTAACCTTGAAGACATCATTCTATGTGAAATCAGTCAGACATAAAAGTACAAATATTATATGGTTTCATTTAAATGAGGTATGTAGAATATTTAAGTTAACAGAAACAGAAAGTAGAGTGGTCATTGCCAGAGTCTGGGGGAAGAAAGAATGGAGAGCTATTGTTAAATGATCATAGAATTTCAGTTTGGGAAAATGAAAGAGTTCCAGAGATGGTTGATAGGGATGATTGTACAACAATGTGAATATACTTAATATCACTGAATGTAGACATAAAGTGGAAATTTTATGATTTTATATACTACTACCATAAAAATAATCAATCCAAAGATTCAATCTATAGATTCAATCATATCCATACAGGATATTTTTGCTAGAAATTTAAAAACTTATTCTAAAATTAACATGAAAATGCAAAGGATCTAGAATACTCAAACAAAGAAGAATAAATTTGGAGTATTTCATTTATAAAATTACTATAAAGCTATAATAATCAAGTTAAGGTGGTATAGTATAAAGATAAACATATAAATCATTGAAACAGAAGACAGAATCTGGATATTTATGAAAAAGGAGCCAAGGAATTCAATGGAAAAAATGATAGTAAATTCAAAGAATTTGAATTTATGGAAATCAAAAGTGCTTAGAAGAACTAGATATCTATATGGACAAAGGAAATAAACCTTGACCTTTATCTTGAACCACATAAAAGAATTACTTCAAATGAATCATGGATCTAAACATAAACACTAAACCTATATAACTTCTGGAAGAAAACAGAAGAATAAATGTGACCTCAGAGAAAGCAAATATTTCCAAGATAAGATAAAAAAAAAATTAACCACAGAGGAAGAAAAGCCAATAGGACTTTCTCAAAAGTAAAATAAACTTCTGCTATTTTAAAGATATTATTGAGAATATGAGAAGGCAAGGAAAAGACTGGGGGAAAATAATTGCATTGCACATAATTGATAAAATACTTTTATCCAGAATATATTAAAGAAAAACTCCTAAAACTCAGTAATAAAAAGACAAACAACATGGCTAAAATAAAATGCACAAAAGATTTGACTTCATAAAGTAAATATATAAATTATACAAAAATATCATAAAATATGCTAAATGTCATTAGAACTAGTTGATAAAATGAAATTAAAATCTCAGTTAGATATCACTACAAACCCAACAGAATGGTTAAAATAAAAAAGACTACTAAGATAATGCTAACTGCTGCCAAGAATTTAGAGTAACTGAAACACTTATACATTGTTGACAGAAGGCAAAATGGTACAGACACTGTGGAAAACAATTTTTTGTTTTGTATTTTTTTAAGTTAATCTTGTATTTGCCATGCTACTCAGCAAAACCCCTCCTAGGTATTTACCCAAGAGGAATAAAAACATATGTTCATACAACAAATAGTGTGAAAATATTCATAGCATCTTTATTCATAATAGCTAAGCTGAAATAATCAAAGTGTCTATCAACTAACAAATGGAAAAATGAATAGTATATCCATACAGTGGAAAAATACTAAACACTTTAAAAAATGAACTACTGATAAACACAATATGAATGAATCTCAGAAGTGTTACATTAAGCAAAAGAGGCCAGACATGGAAGGCCATAACCTGAATTAGTCCATGCATATGATATTCTAGATATGGCAAAAGTAGAATGACAGAAATTTAATCAAAGGTTGCCAGAGTCCATAAGGGAGCAGAAGATTATTGACAGAGAGGCTCAAGAAAATTTTTCATGGTGAAAGATAAATTCTACATCCTGACCTAGTATAATATATTGAATATACCAATCAAAACTCAGCAAAGTATAAACTTAAATTGGGCAATATGCCTTGATAAAGCTGATTGAAAATAAGCATGTTGTTTTTAATACATATAAATGTGGCAAAATTAAAAAAGAATGCAGGTATTAATTAACACAGATGCAGAGTAGCAGTAAGTGGGACTGAGGAAGGGATGCAGAAAGTCTTGGTAATTTCCTATTTATTTAATCTGGGTACCGAGCACATAGAAACTCATTTATTTTTTATTTATTCATTTGTATGTTTATGATTAATTATGCCACAGGATCATGTTATATACTTTCTTTTGTAAATATGGTATACTTAACAGTAAAAAATAAAAAACAGAAAACTAAAATAAAAAAAGATTAAATAACTGTCTATGAATGTATCATACAACCATATAGCATTATTTAAAGAAACAAAAATTTTCAATAAGAGAGTAGTACCTCCAAAAGGTGTTTTAGTGGAAAACATGGTATGGCAAATGTAGTACTACTCTTAGAAGCTCGATTCTAGTAAGATTTTCTTAAATTCCGCTAAGAGTATGAAAGAAGGAAGAGAAAGCACAAATCTTACAAAAGGTTCTGTTTAAAAAAAGGGGAAGTAAAGTATGAAAGAAAAATATTACCTGCCCAATGTTTTTGTTTATTCAGAAAAACATAGGTCTATAATAGCAAAGTACCATCAACTTATAATTCAATCTGATTGTGTAAGTCTATATGTGTTTTAGAAAGATTCAGGTTACCGTAATTCTGAACTTTCTAAAATTAGTTTACAATTGCCTGGCATTAGAGTTTTCTTCCATCCCACCCCATAATAGGATGTATAGATAAATGGAATAAAGACATGATTAATGATATGTATATCTCTAAATCTCATGGTTATTTATTCAGTGTTTCTCAATACCCTTTATTTATATCATTAATGACTACTATTAAAGATATCCAGATATAAAGATCTCCAAATCTTTGTATCCACATTATAGTTGATCTTATTAAAACAAAAAGACAAAAACAAAAAACAAAAAACAAAACAATTTAGTCATATCAAATAGACCCAAAATGGCAAAGAATTTTTGCAAATCTATTTAGAATGACTGCCTCAAGTTCTGTTTTGAGACTGACTCTAGTTCAAGTCTAAGCTTAGGAACAAAAATCTCTTATTAATAGGTTAGGAATGCCCTTGATGGAGTAAGAGAAAGAGACTGTATTTGCAAGGCAATGTCATCTTTAATGTAGGTAGTTATATTACTGAAGTCAACCATTTTAAAAATAATCATTTAAAAAACCTTCCCTAGGGCGCCTGGGTGGCTCAGTCAGTTAAGCGTCTGCCTTTGGCTCAGGTCATGATCCTGGACTCCCAGGACTGAGTTCCAGGATCAAGTTCCGCAGTGGGTTCCCTGCTCAGTGGGGAGTCTGCTTCTCCCTCAGCTTCTACTCCCCGCAACTCAGGCTCTCTCTCTCTCTCAAAAATAAGAAAACTGTTTAAAATTAAATAAATAAATAAATAAATAAATAAATAAATAAATAAATAAATAATAAAACAAACCTTCCCTAGACATCCCCTACTTGTGTAGAAATTTATACAATTGATTCTTACCTAGTAGTGTGATGGAAAATTTGATTTCTTTTTTTCTTTCCTTTTTTCTCTTTTCCTTTCTTTTCTTTCCCTTTCCCTTTTCCTTCCTTTCTTCCTTCCTTCCTTCCTTCCTTCCTTCCTTTTTTGTCCATTCTTCTTCCCCTCCTTCCTTCCTTTCCTTTCATTCCTTCCTTTCTTTCTCCCTCCCTCCTTCCCTGCGGGCCTCCCTTTGTAACCAGATATTGGCTAGTTGATATGAAGCTTACGGTGGATATGGTAAGACAATAAACAGCTTAACAAGCAAGTGCAATAAAAAAGCAATCACAATGGTGGTGAGTATGTAAGGAAAAAATTTCAGGGGCAGGAATGTAAAACAATGTGGTAGAGCCCTCTGGATAGGACTTCAGTGTGAGAAGCAGCCAGATGAAGTATTGCAAGACGGAACAGTCCCTATGAAGGTCCCATGAAAGGAAGAAATTTGAAGATCAGCAGTGTAAAGGAGGACAGTATAATAAAGAGATTTGTCCAAATTTCAGATCTTCTACTAAAGTTTTGTGATCTTGGCTGGAATGTTGAATCTCTTATAAATCTCAATTTTATCACATCACACATTGAGAACAAGGTACTAGGTAATCTCAAAGATTCTTTGAGATTAAAAAAAAATAAAATGTCTTCTATGCTATAAAATAGTCCATCATCTTTAACCTGGTAAATTTATCTGGTAAAAATATGGCCATAGCAGCTGTGATCAGAAGGATTCAGTAAAATTATGGGAATTTGGTGCAGACTTTTTTTTTTTTTTTAGATTTAACTGAAAGGAGCTCTGTGTACTTTAAAGAAAATCAGAGTATGTGGAAAGTAAATACAGCAGAATATAAAAGTCAAGCTTCAGAATCCCGTTCAAGTGATCTGCTACTGTTTACCAGTCAAACAAATGGGTATATGCAAATGTATATTTTTTTCTTAGAATATCATTTTGTAACTTATTTTTTCATTATGATTTACAGAGATTGAAATCTCCACTGGAGTTCAGGATAGAAGGGGTGGGTCATTAGGTTTCTGCCTCAAGGAAATAGGTCTCAGCATGCCACCAGTAGAGCTCAAATAGTGATAATAAGGTCATCAATTATCCTGGCCTGGATATAGTTTGAAACCCTGGGAGGTGAAACTTACACCCAGAAAAAGATAAATTGCCTTTCTATAGGATTAAGCAACATCATCATGGAAGACAGGTGGCTTGACTGTCTGTCCTATATGGTCTAAGAAAATGTCTCAGAAGAAATAAGTAATGAAAACCAACACCTCATCCTCTGAAAAATGGGATTGATTAAATGACCTTATCTAGCACTTATTTCTTGAACACCCAAACATGATTTATTCATGTTGAAATGTATTTTTAATTGCTTATTTAGGTTGCATTTATTGATACATAAACAGGTATAATCTTCATGATAAAAGCACATACAAGCACAATTTAAGGCAAAACAAACAGATCAATACGCAAAATAACTTTCAGAGATACAAATAATGAAAAATTAAACTCATTAAAACA